CCTCAGCTGACAGCCCCCGCCCCCCCTCCCGCCGGAAGCGCCGCTCCGAGCCACTTCCGAGAGATTCTCGGCGGCCGCGCGGGGCACCATGGGGCTTGTAGTTCCGCGGGGGGGATGCAGAGACATGTGCGCGGCGCGGAGAGTCTCGCCGCGGCTGAGCGGAGCCAGAGGTGGGGAAGGCGGGTTTACTGGGAGGGCCGGCTGGGTAGGGGGTTGCGCCCCCCCCCCGGGAGGAAGGTTGCCACTTCCCTTCTTTTGGGCCTGCTCCTCTGCCCTTGGCATGGTAAATTCGTATCCTAACTTCCAAGCAACTGCAGGTCTTTGCTACTCTCGCTTCCGAGACGGAGGCCTGCCTGGACAAGAGAGGGCAGGAGGACGAATGGTTTAAATATTTGCATTGCCCCTTGCTGTTGTGTCCGCCCTCCCCGGCCAGCGGCAGCCCCCTGAAACCTAAATAGTCTTTGCTCGCCAGAAGTCCCCCTGTATCTTGGCACAGGGTTGCCACGTTGGGGAATTCCTGGAGACATTTGGGGTACGGGACACACATGAAGCTGCCCACCTCGGTCCATCAAGTATTGTCTACTCAGGCTGCCACCTGCTCTCCAGGGTCTCAGGTGTTTCTCACCTCCTGCCTGGCCCTTTTTAACTGGAGATGCTGCCGGGGACTGAACCTGGGACCTTCTGCATGCCAAGCAGAGGCTCTGCCACTGAGCCACGGCCCCTCTTGACAGCTCTCCAGGGTCTCAGGTGGAGGTCTTTCCCATCACCTCCTGCATGGTCCTTTTTAACTGGAGATGCTGCCGGGGACTGAACCTGGGACCTTCTGCACGCCAAGCAGAGGCTCTGCCCCTGAACCACCGGCCCTCTTGACAGCTCTCCAGGGTCTCAGGCGGAGGTCTTTCCCATCGCCTCCTGCTTGGGCCTTTTTAACTGGAAATGCTGCTGGGGACTGAACCTGGGACCTCCTGCGTGCCAAGCAGAGGCTCTGCCACTGAGCCACAGCCCCTCTTGACAGCTCTCCAGGGTCTCAGGCGGAGGTCTTTCCCATCACCCACTGCTTGGTCCTTTTTAACTGGAGATGCTGCTGGGGACTGAATCTGGGACCTTCTGTGTGGCTGGCAGTGGCCCACAGCCCCTCCGAAACCTGGGGGAGGGTGGAGTTTGGCGAGGGGAAGAACCTCAATGGGGCATATAATGCCATACAGTCCACCTTCCAAAGCAGATATTTTCTCCTGGTGGACTGATCTCTGTCGCCTGGGCACCAGTTATAATTCCAGGAGATCTCCAGCCGTCACCTGGAGGTTAGCAACGCTTTTCCTGGCATAAGAGGGTCTTAAGACGACCTGAGATAACTGCCTTGTTCCTGTCTTTATTGCCCTCCCGATTGGTTCTAATGTCATGTTTATTATTTGTGATTCTGATTATATATCAACTATATTTTTAACCATTTATAGCGGGGGTGTTGAACTCATTGGTTATGAGTGCCGGATCGGACGTAAATGAGAAATGCCAGGTAGCGGAGATATAAACTTTATAAAGGACACAAACACAGAAGGTTTTTATTACTTAAATGCATGCGTAAAACATTAGTACTCTTGCAATATTTTGTTTTTTTAACAGTGTCTGATAACTGATGCCTCTTGCTCTGAATTACTGCATTGAAATGTCTGTGCTGTTGCAGTCTTGAGTATGGTGTTCAGGGGTGTATCTGTAAGCTGCAAACCTACAAAGATGCAGCAGCAGCAGCAGAACTGGAAGAAGTAGCAGAAGACAGCCAGCTCCACTGCGGGCCTGATAGAAGCCCTCCGGGGGCCTGATCCGGCCCCCGGAATGCGTGTTTGACACCCCTGGTTTATAGGGTTGTAAATCACCCAGAGCCTGCCCTGCAGGGTGGGCAATTCATACAATAAATCAATAAAATAAACAAATTAAGTAAAATCTTGGGGGGCTGATTTTGTGGATACTTGGAAGGGCTTCCCTAATCCTGCAGAGGAAAAGAAAAGAACCCTTTCCCAAGTTCCTTTGTGTGTGTGCCTCCTTTCCAGCTGCAAGCGAAACCTTCAGCACGG